CTGTATTTTCTTCTTAATACATCTCTTTTTCTTTTTCCCTGCAAGACACCACCAGACTGCACCAGGACTGAAAGCCACTGAGAGGGCAGAGAGTTCTGCAAATATTCCTGACCCCAAAGGAAAATCTCCAGATTTGGGTTAATTTCTTCATTTAAAATGACATTGCTTTTAATGACACAGAGGACAAAACTGTTCAGGGTGTGGGGCAATGTGCTTGTCCAACCCAGTACCTCTGAAGGTACCAGCTGGTTGTTTAGATGGTGTTTAATAACCTTCAGTCGTGTTTGCTGGTGTTGACTTGCTTCTGGGGTTCAATGGCAAATAAACAGCAGGTTGGACGGGGCTTGGAGCAACCTGGTCTGGTGAAGGTGTCCCTGCCCAAGAACTAAACGGTCTTTAAGGTTCCTTTCCTGCCAAGCCATCCTGGGACTCTGTGGAACAGGGATGAGAGCACCTGCAGAGGGAAACCCCTGCTCCCAACACCCTCCGGGCTTTTCCCACTGTTCTGTGTTCCAAACATCCAGCCCAGAGTGCTGCTTTGCTGCCGATGGAGCAGATCCTCAGCTGGAGAAAACCCTCCCAGTTCCCCCGGGGTGGATGGAGCGATGCCAGTACACACTGGTGGAAAATCTGCTCCAGCACTCACTGTTTACTTCTGAGGATCTGAGCACAAACCCTTCCAACAAAGTGCTGTTTGAGGGAGGTTTGTTTGCCAGGCTGCCTTGCCTCGCTCCCTCCTGGACTGGACACACCAGGAGTTTGTGTATAATCCCAGAAAACCAAGGGAGTGTGTTCCAAGCCCGTGCTCCCAGCTCCTGACAGAGTCAGGAGAGGGGAGGCTTTGCTGGACATGGGTTGAAATCATCAGGATCATTATTATTGCTGAGAAAGGATGGAAAAACAAATGTTTTTATTATGGGCTGGAACTAGAAATCCAGGGGAGCTGCTAATCCCCCTGATAAGTGGGGTGTGGGTTTGGAGAGGGGGTTGTGCATCCAGGTATTTACTGTGTCCAGCTCTAAGCAGCAGGTTTTTGTTATTCAACCTCCCCTCCCCTGTTCGAACTGGAATGTGTTGTAATTGTAATATTCCTCTTATCTCTCTTTTCTCCCCTTTCTGTCAAAGTCTTTTCCGTTTCTTTAATATGTTTCTTTTCCATCCCTGCTTTATTTTTATTAGCTCACCTACAGCCGTTGAATCAGCAAAGCAGAAAATAGATATTACAATTCCAAATTTTCTAGTGGAATAATGAGCATGTTTTTGGCACTGCTTCTTGCCATTGTTTTGTTAAGACAGACTCTCCTTAACTCTCCTTTTCCATTTCAGGGCCTGCCCTTCCTTTATAAGCCCAGATTTCTTCCCATTTGTCCTGTCTTCCCTCCCTCCTGACTCATTTCCACTTCCCATTTGGGCTGTTTCTTTTCTCTTTCCTTTTCCTTTTGCCAAACCTTCTCTGATCTTATTTTCTGCTATTTTTAATTCCTCCTTCCCAGGCCCGGATCCTCCCTGACCCGCTGTCATCGGGGTGTGTGTCTCTACCTTCTTCCTCTCCAGGCTGGAAGGACAGCCTGGGCAACCATTTCCTCAAAATCCAGCTTTTCCAAACCCAGCTCCCGCCGAGCGCCGCTGGCTCTGCGTGAGGAACCCGCCGTCCTTCCACGGTCCTTGTGGCTCTCCAGGAATTTCAAAATATGATTCAAGCTCCCCCTCAGCCTCGTTCCATGTAATTTCTGAGCCACCTAATGAGAGCCTTCCTCCCAGACATTTGCTGTGCTCCTCACACCAAATATTCCCTCCGTGCGGCTTTTCCGTCTGGAACATCCCACCCCTGCTCCTTCAGTCTCACCCACTGCCCGGATAATTTCCAGTCTCAGCAGTAAAAAAACAACCTTCCTTCCCTGTCATCCCGTGGCAGCAAACATTCAGTCATTTCTTTTCCATGCTGTGGGAATAGTGGAAGCAATTTGAGTTTTAAAGGAGCCCTGGAGCTTGTGGAATGTGGGCAGGTTTTAGGTCTTTTATCCTGAGTCTCACCAGCAATCAGCTACAACTCCATAAGCTTTTCCATCAGTGTTTGCTGGAACGACCAGTGGAGTACCTTGCTCTGGTATAAAATATATTCAAAGTGGAAAATTAAGGGGAAAAAATTGATTTAATGAGAGGCTGGCTGGGGAAAGGAAAAGGATTTCTCCAAGGGCTGAAGCACTGTGTTATTGCCTACAAAGGAATTCTTGTTCTAATCACACCTGGGGGGTCCAGTGGCCTTGAGAGCAAAGAATGCTCAACATTCCCCCCCAAAAAACCTTCTTTATCCTGGCTATCAGACACCACCACTAGTCATAACTTGTAAGGTTTAGCTGGCAGTGGATAAATACTGAGCCTGGGAAGTCAAAATAGTCCTTGAATCGCTGCCTTCAACATTCACTTAATGCAGCGTATTTTGAATTTCCAAATCCCATCTGATGGGGCTCTTTCAGAAGATCTCCCAAAAGTTAAGTCCAAATATTTCACTCCAGGAATGAAATCCCCAGGGCACTGCATGTGCCTCGCTGCAGATTAGTTAGAGCCTGGGGAGTTATAAGATTCCTGAGATGGAGCGCTGAAGATTCCAGGAATTCTCTCAAAGGTGAAATTATTAACCAACCTTTTGTTCCTAAAGCAGCTCTGCACTCACAGAGTCTCGTGCTGGTCTGGTCTTCTACCTTTCCTGAGGTGTTCCCAGATTTAAATCTGAGCTGGAATTAAAGAATTCCATTTGGAATCATCCATGACAATAAGAGTTTAACATCAGGGACAAAAGCACAGTGTGATTCAAAACAGGAGGAGCAGCTTATTTTTCCTCTGAGTCCTTTTCTGAAGGTTTCAATCTACTTTATATGCAAATTTATAGGTTCTTAACTGACAGTAATAAAACATGTGATGTGCTGATCCACACAACTCCACAGGGAAAAGAGGGAGCTGCTGCTTTTCTGTACCAGAATCAGGCCAGGAGTCACAGTCTGTGGTAAAAATTATGGAAGGGGTAGAAAGAAGAGGAAATTTCAATGCAGAGATTGCACCAATTATCTTGTTAAGAGGAAAAGTTTCCTCCTGCCTTTTCCACCTGGAATTGGCCATGGATTCATGTACAAAATTTTGCTTTTCAGATGCAACTTGAGAATGATTTTATCTGTTCTTTCACTGTTTGCTCTCAATTGGCAGAGAATATATTCATCATTTTATGGGCAAATATGAGTAAAATTAATGGTAAAGGTACTCTGAGAGGTTATTTTTGCACTTATTTAACAATATATCCTATTAGTTGCCTAAAAATTCAGCTGTTCCCACCACCTCTGGCCTTCCTTAGCACTGCCTCCTTGTTTCAGAAGATGCATGGGAATTTATTTTAGTCCAGGTTGTTTGTTATGGCAAATCAACCACTTCCCCCAGTCTCCAGAGAGAAATTCTCTGACATTAAGGCACAGTTGTTTCTATTCATTACGTAATTTCCTATATTCATTAAAATATATATTTAAGATCAATCCAGGGGCAAATACAAGCCCATTCATTCAAGAAGGTAGTTTCTTTATGTGTCTATTATATAGACATATATATCTACATTTATTATATTGCATATGAATGTCAAGTTTGACCTTTTTCTTCTCAACTGCTGTGATCCACAGTTTATGTGGAGCTTGTATATGAGCACAGCTGTCACATTTATTTTACATCCACATAGAAGCTGAATTCCACAAAAAACACCCCTGAAATCACTGCTTTAAGCAAATTTGAGGCATGTTTTTAAATTTTTTATTATTATTTTTATTTTTTTATTATTATTATTATTTTTATATTATTGTTTTTGTAAAGCACATTAATGGAAATGTATCGGTGTAAACTGCCTGGTGAAAATAAGGTGGAGAGTGTAACATTTATTGGTACATTAATTGCCAGAGAAAATGGATGTGCCAGAGGGGCTTTTCAGCCCATGTGTTGTTTTTTTAGCCCCTGCCCTTGATCCTCTTTGGAGCAGGGCTTGGTGTCCCCAAAGGCTTGGGATGCTCTGATGATGGGTGAGAAGGGATGTGGAGAACGGAGCTGCTGTCAGGATACAGAGAATCACAGGATATTTTAGGTTGGAAAAGCCCTCTGAGCCCCTCGAGTCCAACCATCCCCCAGCACTGCCAAGGCCACCACTGACCCATGGCCCCAAGTGCCACATCCACAGGGCTTTTAAATCCCTCCAGGCATGGGGACTCCAACACTGCCCTGGGCAGCTGTGCCAGGGCTGGACAGCCCTTTCCATGAAGAAATTTTCCCTCATATCCAACCAAACTCACCCTGGCACAACTTGGGGACACCCAGAGACAAAACCTCTTCTTCCTCTTCGCTTTGCCCACTGGGTTGGTATCATCCCTCTCGCTTTTAGGGTCATCACTGAACGTTTTGTGTACCATGACACAGTTTTTTTGGATTCAGGCGAATTCTGTGACCCCTAAATTGGGATGACAGGCAATGCCTGGGGTCACAGTGCCCAGGGGTGATGGGCAGTGCCCAGGGGGGACAGACGGTGCCCAGGGTGACAAACAGTGTCCAGGGGTAATGACAGTGCCCAGGAGGGAGAGATGGTGCCCAGGGTGACAAACAGTGTCCAGGGGTAATGACAGTGCCCAGGAGGGAGAGATGGTGCCCAGGGTGATAAACAGTGTCCAGGAGAGACGAGCAGTGACCGGGGTGACAAACAGTGTCCAGGGGTGACGGACAGTGCCCAGGGGGACAGGCAGTGCTCAGGGGGCACAGATGGTGCCCGGGGGGGACATGCAGTGCTCAGCGGTGACAGACGATGCCCACCCAGGTCCCCCGCCCGCAGTGTCCCAGCCCCGCGGGGCCGCCCCCCCGCGCCGCTTTCGGCGGGCTCGTGTGTCCGTGGCCGCGGAGCCGCGCGGGCCGTGCTGTGGTTGGCGCGCCCGCCCGCCCCCGGCCGGCGGCGGCGCAGGCGCGGTGCCCGCATTCCATGATGGCGGCGCGGGCGGGCGGCGGGCGCTGAGGCGGCGGCGGAGCCGGCGGAGCCCACGGTCAGTGCGGGGGGCCCGGCCCGGGGGTGGCTCCCCCGCCGTCCCGCCGCACCCCGGGCACGGGGAGAGCGGTGCTGCCCGCCCAGGGCGCGGCGGGCACTGCCCGGAGCCGAGCCCCGCGGTGCGGAGGGCGGGGAGGGGAGGGGGGGCGGCTGCGGGAGAAACGGGACCCCGGGGATCGGGAGGGGGATTTTTGGGAGAGGAGGAGGGGGAGCCCGGGGAACGGGGCAGGTTTGGGGGTGGACGTGGCGCACGGGGCAGGTGGGGGCAGGATCCGAGGGGATCCGGTGTCCCGGGGCATGGGGTTGGATGGGGGTCTGGGGCGGGGTGGGAGAGGATGGGGTGTAGGGGGCAGGATGGGATGCGCTGCCGGGATGGGGTGCCCGGGGTGGGAATGGGGTGCCCGGCATGGAATGGAATGGGATGGGA